TGTTGGGTTTCAGATCAGACTTAGTGGGTGTTTATATTTGTGTAAGTGCATCTCCATGTATATACAAACACATAAACTAGTTGTCCAATCCTCCTTTTTATTATCTTTGAAGATGGTTTAAAAATAGCAGGCTTATTTTTTATTGTGCGAACCATTGCCCTAAGTCAGGGGTTAGGAATGATGGTTCCTTTATGACCTATGGACCTCAACTCCCAGAATTCCTGAGCTAGCAATAGAAGTTTCCACATTGAATTTGTTTCTACATTATTTCATATTCCAATGACCTCAGAAATATGGTACCAGGTAAAAACAAATCTTTAATTTGTCACTGGACGGATCTGTTCTCAAGGAAAGTCACTCTGACTTTTTGAATTATAAACTTTTAAATGTATTTTTCCTTGAATGTTGGTACGTGAAGCTGCAGTTTCTCACTATCCAATCTTCAGTTGTGGAACAAAATGACGATTATGGGAGCTCTGGAATTTATTTTTCCTCTTCCCTCTTTGGAACAATAAGAAATTATTTATTGATTTATTAATTTTTTTATGCTGCACAGCTCCCTTATATGGTAATTCTGGGCATCTTACATATTATAAAAAAGATAAAAGGAATGGTAATTAAAATATTAGAACTATGCAAATTAAATTTTTTAAACTACTGTACACAAAAAAACATGATGAGATAGATGGGACAGGGATGAGGTTTTCTTACCCCATGAACCACCTCCAGCAATGAGCACGCTCTTCAGGGCCCCAAGCAAACACAAAACTCTTCCAGAAGGCCAAAAAGATGGGAGCAGTTCTCACCTCCGGTGGTAGAGTGTTTCACAGGGATGGAGTCACAGTGAAAAAGGCTTTTCTCCTTGACCCCACCCAACAGAATTCCTTAGCAGACGGCGGCCATAGGAGGCCCCATTTGCTGGCATGAGGCAGGTTAGTCCCATTGGGGTGAGATGGCTCCTCAGATACCCTGCTTAACTAGTACTATGATTAGATTGCTTAAGAAACTAAACCTGCCATTGTTGTAGGTCAGCTTTCTCCAATATGATGCCCACAAGATAAGTTTGTCTATTATTCCCAGTATCCCTTGCAATACAAGGAAATAAAATTATTCTGGTTTTTTTGTTCATTCAGTTTATACCACACCTATTATACAAGCACTCAAAGCAGTTCACAAAATTAAAAGAAAACAGAATCCAAAAGCTGAAAACCTACATTAAAATGAATGCCAAAATCCATTGTTACAAGCCTAATTGGAAAAGAGGAGAAAAGAAAAAAAGAAAAGAAAAAGAAATTCTTCTAATTGCTTAGAGAGAATCTTGCCAAACTGAAGCTTCTGAAAAAATGAATTCTGTAGTACTATATGAAAGAAATTAAATAATCTGAGACTTAAAAATGTTGATCATGGGGAAAAAGAAACTGATATATTCATCCAGTAATAATGAGTCTTTTGAGTATTTCATTCTTAAAAGTTGGGTTTCATATTTCTTTCATTTGTCCATATTTGCATATTGAATTAATGTAGTTTAATTTCCTCAACCAATTCATCATCTTCCAAGCAAGTAAATATGATCCTCTTGGTGCTGACTAATTCTTCATGCAGATAGCTGAGAAAGATTTTGCAATTTCTTCATAGCTGAAGATGAACAGCTTTCAAAATGCCTAATAATATCATTATTTTATAAATTCATGTGTTCTATGAAACAGTATCGTATTTGTGGCTTATGTTCACAAAGGCTGCTTGGTGCTTGGAGCTACGACCCATTAAAATGAAAAAAAAAAGAAAGGTTTAGAAAATTTCACAGCATGAAAGAATCCTATCTTTGTACAGTACTTCTGTAAAACAAAACCACTGCTGTAACTTTGAATTACCCTCTCTTTGTAATGCTGCTGTCCCATTCCTGAAGTTCATAAAGTGCTAAGTTAATGTGGAGAAAGTTCTCTTGTACTCAGCCAAGAGAGGCTGTGTACACCAAAACGATTGCTGGGCCCTTCCATTTATTTACTTACGTTTGTCTCGCTTCCCTCTTCCTTTGTCAACCACAGGTGCTTAGGAGCACATAATGATCCAAGAGCATCAGAAAAGAGGTTAATGTGAAAAGGTTTCTTTTTTTCCCCCTTTTCCACTTGTCCAAAAACTACTCCCAAATTGTCACATACGTTACACCAATCACCATAAAAATCAAGGAACAAGTAGCCTTCTGTAAGCTGGCCCAGCAGTTCCACTAAGACATCAGTTGAGACAGCTTTGAGACTCTGTTTTGTCTGGTCCTTATTCACAGAACCTGTTTCTTTTCATTTCTTTCTCGCATGAGTTTTTGTGCACGGTGTGCATGCACGCATGCATTTCACCCTTTGAATGCAATAAAAGAGCTTTAGGGCATTTTTTATTTACTGTAAAATGTACTGGGGGACGGGGAGGATAAATTTATCTTAGAAGCCACACAGCAACGGCTTGCAAAAACACTGAGACTACTGTAGTTATGGTTTCCAGAAACACCTGCAAACAAGTGCAGTTATCGTGGCAAAGTGTGCCCCTCGGCTTTTGTTGTCATTGCTGTTGTTCTTGGGGCATTTTTTTAAAAAAAAATCTTCTCTCTTTTATCAGCCCAAGACTGGCAATGAATTTATGTGACAGCTATGAAGGTAGGATGCCAACTGTGAATAAGGGCAAACTGCTTCACGGTTCCCCTTTTGGTGGAGTCACAGTTTGGTCTTACACGGCAATGAATACCAAGCCAGAAGTGATGAATTGGTGAGCAGGAGGGAGATGGTTGAGTTTGAAGGGCTGCAAATTTCCTTCATTTGTAACAGTTTGGACTGGGAGAAAATGAGGCAGTTGGGAGGAAAAAAAGAGTCATTTTTTAGCAAGCTGTGTTTAAGCTTAAGAAAATCTTGTTGAATGAGGGATGTTAGGTTGAAGTTCAGCTAGTTATGACTAACTTGTTTCCATGCACCTTCATTCTTTAACTTTTACTTGCAACATTCCAAGTTGTAATTAGTAACATGATAAAAATAAAGATCATTTTTCCTTTTATATTTCTCCAGTAAGCCAAGCCTGATATGTCATGGGCCTATGCAAATTGTTTTCTATGCCTCTGTTCCATAAACCTATAAAACAACTCAAAAACTCAGAGAAGCTATTTGAAGACCTTCCCAAATAATCTAGAGCTACCCCTGTTTTGAGGTCTATGCAATAACAGTTTATTAGCTTTAAGCATAATTTTCCATCACAATGTAACTCTTTTGGCAAACCATAGTAAGTCTATCCAGTGGCAATACAACTTATTGTTTTGTGAGTGGACATAAACCCAACTCACCTTATGTCACATAAACCAGTTATATTAAATATTAAAATGTAACTCATTTATATCTGCCAGTTTGCCATACTGAGTTCACCCATATTGTAATACAAAGAAGAAATGAAAAAATGTATGACAAGAAAAAAGTATGAACAGTAATGGTGGTAGAATCTCACCCAAGAAAAAACAACAATTGAATAGGATCCAAGAGTGAGCACTGGACTACAGAATAAGTTACCAAAGTTTCGCTGCTCTTTTATATCAATATACATAGAGAAAACAGACATGTTCAGCAATTTATAGGAGACAAATTTTCACTGAAGAAATCAAAAGAAGCAATCTTAAACTTGAAAGCTCGTTTGGGCTAGGACAGGGGTAGGCAACCTTGGCTCTTTTATGACTCGTGGACTTCAATTCCCAGAATTCCTGAGCCAACATAGCTGGCTCAGGAATTCTGGGAGCTGAGGTCCATGAGTTATAAAAGAGCCAAGGTTGCCTACCCCTGGGCTAGGACTTCAGTATGCTTTAGTCTTTAGTTTGCCTGCAGATCTGCAATATTAAAAAGTAGTCAGGAAAAGCCATCAGCTCAAAGAACTGGAATCTATAATAATGTGATCTTGGAATTTATTTGAAAGGTAAAATCGATATTGCTGTAATGAACAAAAACAGTCATGCAATTGTTTGTCTCCATCTGTAACTGCAGTACAGATAGTCCTTGATTTACAACCACAATTGAGCCCAAAATTTATGTTGCTAAGAGAGATAGTTGTTAAGTGAGTTTAGTCTCATTTTACGACCTTTCTTGCCACAGTTGTTAAGTGAATTGTTGCAGTTGTTAAGTTAGGGACACAGTTATTAAAGGGAATCTGGCTTCTCTATTGACTTTGCTAAACAGAAGGTTGCAAAATGGGATCACATGACACTGCAACCATCATACATATGAACCAGTTGCCAAGCATCCAATTTTTGATCACATGACCATGGGGATGCTACAACAGTCATAACTGTGAATATGGTCATTGTGTCATTGTAACTTGTGAATGGTTCTAAGTCAAGGACTATCTCTACTACACAGTTATCTCCATTTGGATCAGGCTTTGAAGTGGCAAAAAGTTTAGGAGCCTTTTCTCATTGCTGAATTACTGCTGTCTTCCAACTGGCAATAAACTATAAGAGCATTAAATTTGATTTGCCATCCCCACTGCTAATTATTGTCCTGCATCTATTGCCCAATTCAAGAGGGTCAGCTGACTTTCCTCCAGACTAATGGGTGACCACAGGGGAAAGGCAAGGGAGGGGAATCAAGAGAGAGGTCACAACAGTGTGACTGAAGCCCTTTCCTTTTATATATACAGGCAGTCCTTGACTTACAACCATTCATTTAGTGACTACTCAAAGTTGCAACAGCACTGAAAAAAGTAACTTATGACCAGTTTTCATATTCACAACTGTTGCAGCATTCCAGTGGTCATGTGATCAAAATTCAGACACTAAGAAACTGACATGTATTTATGACAGCTGACCCAGGCTCATATGATCACTATTTGTAACCTTCCGAGCCGGCTTCCAACAAGCAAAGTCAATGGGAGAAGCCAGATTCACTTAATAGCAGCATGATTCACTTAACTGCTGCAGTGATTTGCTTAACAACTGTGGCAAAAAGGTTATAAAATAAGGCATGACTCAACTGCCTCACTTAGTAACAGAAAATTTGGGCTCAATGGTGGTTGTAAGCCAAGGACAACCTGTATGTGTACAACATTAATGCCCATAAATAGGGCACGTTTCCAATTGCAGCCATAATCATCATCTTGACTTTTTTGGCAAGAGGGGAAAAAACTAACCAATTTTACAGAATCAGTTAAACTGGGACAAAGTTTAATAGATTTTGTAGTATTTGAAGTTGCCCTTGAACAGTTTCAAACTAATGGGTGAAATACAACTTTAAAATAATATAGCTAAAGACGACTTGAGGTGGTCTTTTTTAGTAGGCAAGAATGAAATGAAGGCACTGTCATGGGAATGAGATCACTATCATGGTGCCATGGTAGAAAAAGGAGATTGTCAGGTCAATTCTCAGGTGCAGGGTGTCCACAGGGGCATACCATGCATCTGAAGCCATATAACAATTGGCTTTGTGTGATTGCGGCCTCCATCTTGATAGTCCTCCCTATGGGTGCCCCTGCTTATGTGCTTTCCAAAGAAAAAATCCACACGAGGCACAAAGAATGGCCTACAAGCATAGGCAGAAGATGGGGCTTGCCTCCAAAAATTATGGCTGCTTCACCACTAGACATTTTTAAGAAGAGATTGGACAGCCATTTGTCCAGAATGGTATAGTCTCCTGGTTAGGCAGGGGTTGGACTAGAGGACCTCCAAGGTCTCTTCCAACTCTGTTCTTCTGTTATTCAATTTGCAGAATTGAGGGCTGTCTTGGCAACTGAAATTCATGGCAATTGATTATTAAAATCTTATTTGTTGCATTCCTAATATCAGAGAGAGAAATCAGCTTTGCTGGAGTTTCTGCCTCAATTGTTCAGATCATTTCATCTGCCTGGAGTAATTTTATAATATGGATGCTGGGGCTTTTGACCACATATTCGGCTTTCCACAGTCCGCAGGCATATCCGTAGGCAAATTTCCTTGACTGTGCACGCAACTTTTTGCATGCCGTTTCTGAATTGAGAATTGGGTGGCAGAGAGGGGGAGAGTGAAAAGGTAACAACCCATAATTCTCCAGCTTCCCTGCGCGCCTCTGGGCGGGAGGTCAGCGAGGCAAGAGGCGCCATTCCCAGCCTCTGTCTCGGGCGCCCAACGGGCTCGGACCGCTTCGGGCGTCCCGCTTCTCCTGTCCCAAGAAGCCTAGCAGCAAGCCTTTTTTACCGTAATTCCTGGTGGCGCCCCTGTTCCGCCGCCACGCACGCCCGGGAGGAGGGGGCGAGGCTGAGCTCCAGTGAGAAAACGCGGGGCCTGACGCTGCATCTGCAGAAGAGAAAAGGGAGCAATATGATCAATACGGTTTCTTTGTGGGGCCTCGCTTACCTCGGCGGGAGACCATCTGCTCCCTGTCAATGGATCACCTGCTCGTCTGACTTGTTGGCGGGGCAACGGGTGGGTGGAGGGATTAAGGAGAGCGAGGGAGCTTTGGCGGCCGCGGGAGTCTGTTTTGTACCTTCACACTGGGCTGGAGAAACGGGGGAGGGAAAGGGCAGGCTTGACAGCCGCAGAAGAAGGGCTGGGCGCCGCTGGAAGCAAAGGCCGCAGGCCGGGGCTGTGAGTGCGAGGAATTTCCCCCTTGCTCACGTTTCTCAGCGAAGCTGACAAGGGTCAGCCACGCACACCCCTTCCATAGCTGCTGCTAAATGCTAAAGGGGAGGGAGGGAAGGGAAAGCGGGGCTCCTACCATCCGCAAATCATCAAAATTCGCCTGTTCTGCCTGCCTGATTTGGGGAAAGTAGGCAGATCGCCGAACAAAGGAAACCTTATATTTATGTGTCCTTTTGCAAATCATGAAGGGTCTTTCTCCAATGAGAAACGTAATGTTTTCACGCGATGATGGCCTGATTAAACCAATATAAAATGTATTAACTAATGTTTCTATTTTACATTTAGATTTGCCATCTGGTCTCACGTGCATATTTACTTCAGCATGACTGTTCAGGCTTCCTGAATATAAGATTTCCATTCAAGTAATGGTACATAGGATTTCAGCTGAAAACTGAAACCTTGAACGTGTTTATCAAAATACATAAGACAGAGTGACTGACATTTTCAGCAAAGGCTCACACATTTTCAGTGTGTGTTCCGTTTCATCACTTCTTAGTGTTACAGTTTCTTACCTGTTCTCTCTGCAAAACCTAAATATGATGGTTTGGGACAATATTTGGATACCAGCATTAATAAATTCTTAACTGGGCACTATTTTATTTCATGTAATGTATAAGAATGTATAGAATGTTGCTTTTAATTTAGAAGGTTTGGATCAGAATGTAGTCTACTTTTTCTGGGCTTTTTTTTAAACTACACCATCTTACATTTTTGCAAACCCAGCTTATTTCAGTATCTAGAATAAATTATACAAATAACTTAATGTGGTGTGCAAGCCTGGTTTAAGAGATTTTCTGAATAATATAGAATTGTAAGTGTTATGTCTGAAAGTCCCTGGTTCCCTCCAGATGTTTTGAAGTTTAATTCACCATCAGTCCCCAACTTTGAGCAAGGGATTAAAATCTAATACTCTGAAAGGGAACTAGATTGCCCATTCCCTATAAAACTCTGCCAACCATCTCTCACTCTATCTAAACATTAATTTGCTGTATGTTGTGCTGTGCCCAATATTTTTTCTAATACAACTTTTGACATTTTCTCTCAGGCCAGTGGCTTTTGGTGCAGTCACTGTGGATAATATAATCTACTACTGAATTAGAGTAAGGGATAGGAAAAACAAGCTAAAACCAAAAGCAATCTACTCAACAAAAAAAACCTGTATTTTTTTTTTTTCAAAAAAGAAACACTAAAAGAATAGAAGAATAAATTGGGTTCTTCTTGAGGACTGAGAATGCCATAATGCCAGACAGCATGGAATGTCTGGAGTTCCATGATTGCAAAGTCCTCACTCTTTTAAGATCCAACTTCTTCAGTTGGAGATATTGAAAAGGTCGTCGATAGAGGAGAATATTTGTAACTCAGGGTTGAAATGTGGCATCCTTTGTGTTCTCTAAGCTTGGTTGAAAACAAGTTGTTTGAAAGTCTATGGAAATTCTTAACCATCCAAGTCATGGTTGTCCCAAAGTTGCTTTTCCAAAAGGCAACTGAAGTTAGAACTTAAGAAGCTTCTTGGATGAAAAGCAAAAAAATCAAGACAGTCCAGCAGCTTTGAAAAAGCACTTTTGGGTCAACTTGGTTGAAAACAACCAAATGCAGAGGGCACCAAAGACCCCTCAGAAAATCTTCTGGAAACCTCATTTGGTCAAGTGAACACTGACCAATTGGAAATCTCTGTGTTAAAAACTCTACGTCCCAGCGCATTTTAGTTATTAAAAATATTTTGAAGACCCCTTTGTGGTTTTCTATATTTAATAAGGTAAGTGCAATCTCTACCCCCTCCGTTTATACTTCAACTGCTATTAAATTATTCTCCTTAACAGTCTTGTCACTTTTCCTTATCCCACCTGGGTAAAAAAAAAAAAGCGAAGACTTGTTAGAAGTTGTAACAAGTATATATAACTAATGTAGAATTTGTGTATTCAAGCAATCTGATCTCTCCATTAAAAGTCAGTACAATCATGTTAGTCCTATGTGGCTCCTATAAGAACCAATTTTTGGACTTCTTTTTAGATGCAGGACTATTTTGTTGAGTTTGTTCTATAGCAGGGGTATCAAACTGCCGGCTCGCGGGCCGGATGCATCATAGAAAAACCACGCCCATCCCATTGCCGACAATGGCAAAAAAGTCACGATATGTCGGAACACAACATGTGATGTTGCAAGTTTGACACACCTGTTCTATAGTGAGACAGCAATTCTTAAAGGTGAAGTCAGTCTCATAACTTTGTGAAATAATATAGCAAGTAATTTCACAGAACTATAGCAAAACATTCTGAGCGTTTGGAAGTAGAATGGTATATAACTATTGGTATAAAAAAACTCTAATCCTTATTTTTTTCAAAAACTACACAAAATGTGACATTCATATAATACTGATAAATATAACTATGTTTTTAACATATCCAGAGTGCACCAAAATATCTAAAGACATGTTGCCCAAGAGTTTCATTTTGATGTATATATTATTACAAAAAGTATTTCTGCAAAGCAGCTTCTTTACAAGGGTTATGCTAAATTAACTTCTATATATTAAGCAGAGAGTCTGCAAAACAAATTTAGACTGGGCAATCTGTCAACACAGGAAAATAGAACTGTTTGTGATAAACCTTAGAATAAAGAAAGAGTTCTTCTGAATACACTTGAAAGGATAATTAAGTGATATTGCAGGATGTTGTTATGATTTCCAATGTACTAAAGTTCTTAAGCATGATGGAAAACCCAGAAGTTTATGGTACAGCTGCCCTGCATCAGTGAAAGATAAAGTATGACTTCTATTTAATCACTGTATTTTCCAAGAAGCTGTCAAAACATGTACTCTGCCCGTAAGAGATATTATTTTAATTTGGCGATCCATTTTGAATTTTACTTTTTATACGTTAAAAGAGCTTGCTTCCAAGCAGTTCTCTTCACATGTGCAATAAGGCATGTAAAAACAATTCAGGCCAATGTTTGCAATCACATCAGGAATGTTCCCTCATCCAGGCAAAGCAAATCCACCATCTACTTTCCGGTAGAGTATAGGCAAGAGAGAAGGAGAAAATAAAGTTTTTCTCTTTCAGATTTTGTTAATGATGGTATTCTGAATAAGCCGCTATTGGCTTAATATAGCATGCTAACTAACAAGCAAACAAAGCACATTTGGCCTTAAGACAAAGGCTCTGCAAATAGGTGAAATTGAATTATGAAACAGTTTAATTTTTACTGCTGAACTTCAAAGGGCTTGTGGAATCTATCTCCAATGGGGTATTTCAGATTATACTCCTTAATATTCATCTTTCATATTCCCCTTTCATATCTCTATCTATGGAATCAATTGTAGTTCTTAAGATTTTATCTTAAGATAAGATAAAAATGGGACTAATCCAAAATCATCCATAGTATTTGCATTAGAAGTTTTCCCCAAGAAACTTCATTCAGTCATTTCAGTAAAATGTTTCAAATAACATTGCTACAAATATTAAAGCTGACATTTTCAAGATAATGTCAAGATTTTTAGAACCTTAAGATTTAGCAAATTAATTCGGCATGAGCTTTTACAAAATATGTACATTTCATGAAATGTAGCTCAAATGTTTTACATGGTCAATGCAGTTCATTAAATTTCATGCCAGAATAAGTCTGTTAGAATCCAGTGGCATTTTAAAAACCTTCATTATTTTTGCTGTAGAACTATTAGTTTACTCTTGTGGAAATGCTGCAGACAGTTTCCTCAGTCTGTTTTGGACTTATACAATTAGTGACTGCCTGTACACAACCACAAGCCATGCCTTATGACCTATCATGGACTCACAAACTCAACTGCTTATGTAAATCTTGGTGAAGGATTTTTGAATTTTTGATGGGCTTCCATATATATAAATCTATAGCAAAGATATAAACAGCTTCTGCAGTGATTTCCTCCCCGCTTAAGGTTCTCTCAGCACAGAATGTTTGCCTGAATTTTAACTTATGAAATGGATTAAAATGCTGCCCTGATTATGAACCTTGCCCGTTTCTAGTAATGTTGATTTCAGCTTTCCAATGATTTTTAACACTGCAAGAAGCTGCCACTTGATATCTCCCCTCACTGCTAGCACTGCAAAAGAAAAGCATGGCTCATTTCAGACTTCAGGGTTATGAGTTTATAGTTTTGCATATTTATATGCTTGTAATAAGAAGACGACACAGCAGTAGCATTATCTTAAAGTGCTCACATATTTTATGGCACATAATACTTGTCATTCAAGTCTAACATACAATGCTCTACATCATTGGTTTTAGTTTAGTGTGTCTTGCAAAAAGAAGCATTTTGATTGTAAATTATGGTTTATGGCTTGGCATATATAATTCCAGGCAACTATGGTGTAATTAAGTAAATCATATTTAAGTGAACCATGGCAAAGTGAAACCTACAAATTCAGACAACTAACTAACTAACATTGCAAAAAGGTTTTCTCAAGTATAGGAAAGTCACTCTTGAAAGTCTGATTGTTTGAGCAATGATACTGGCAGTGGTGGGATTCAAATATGTGAACAACTGGTTCTCTGTGTGTATGCCGCTTCCAGAAGTCCATTCTGGGCCTGGGCAACAAAAAATTAGCTACCAGTTCTGCCGAAGTGGTGTAAACCGGCTGAATCCCACCACTGGATACTGGTATTATAGAATATTGTCCTCTGTTCTATTACAGCCTGAAAAATGTCAGTCTGTATTTAATATCAGTCAATCTACATATCACACAAGTATAAGTTGTAACACTTCTACAAATTTTATATTCAAGCTCTGGACTTAATAATAATATTTATATTATTCACCACTGACTTATTTTTTTAAAAAAAAAAATACTCCCTAGTATACTCCTTGGTGAACTAGCACCTAAAAATGCCTACAACATAAATTCAGTTTAACAAAAGCAACCCCAGAAAACAGTTCTAAATTAGACTCCGTTAATACATGTATATTAAAACACTGATAAAGACATTAAGTATTGAGAAAGCTTGTTCCACAAGCCTTCTCAATACTACATGTCTCTGTTTATGTAAAACACTAAGGTTCTATGAAAGATTACCAGTCGGGATATGCTGTGTTGTATATGGGTCATAAAAACAAGAATGCAGACTTCTGTATAGTAATGTGTACCTTGTAAGCATAAAGTGACCAACATTGCCCATTTGTGGCAAATAGAATTTGAAATCGAGGTTTGGCTTATTAAATAAACAACTTGCTAAACAATAAACTGTGAATTCCAAACCTTAATGGTTGCGATATTCAAATAACTAGTTGCATTATGGCCTGGCATGATATATGAACTTATTGTAATTAAGCCACTAATACGTAACAACTAGCTTTGGAAGAGACTATTGATAGTCTCTTCCAAAGTCAAAACCTTTGTCTGGACAAGAATATTCATGATCATTACTGCCATCTAAATCTCTTTCCTAGAGCAGGAAGCCACATAGTTTTCTGACCAAAGCAGCTATTGGCATAATCTCATTTTTTTGTTGTTGTTGAAATTCCTGTTTTACCATTGGTAAACAGGTGAGTTATTGGCTTTGACTGGCATCTACAACAGAAGAGTTTGGATTTGAAGGCTGCACTGGACCTGCACTGTTCTTGACTGAATCTAAATTGGGAGTGCAGAATCCCCACCTTCTTTTTCCAATGACTGTGTGAACCCCTGAGCCAGGAAGTATTTGGTATAAAACTAGGTTTTTTGCCCTTTACCAGATATACCACAGTAACTGTGGCTGCTGTTGTCAGTCTGCATTTGGGAGTTGTTATCTATG